TGGATATGCTAAGTTACTTTACTCATTAAGTCACATAACTAACAACCTTAGCATGATATGTATGATTATTTCATAGGTGATCAAAATAATATAAAGTAAGTAAAATATTAATATGTTAAAGAATACTCCCTTTGCATGTGGTGAAAATATGCTTGCATCATCCCCCCTTCTTTAGGGTGATTTGTCCTCAAATCGAAGCCTTTGTTATGCTTGAAGTGTTTATCATTCTAATCTTGCATAGCTTTACGTTCTTTTGGCAAAAGAAAGTATCATTTGGATGAATGTGCTCTTCCAATAGGTACCCTTTCACAATATCTCCTATTAGGCCTTTCTCTGGAATATAAATTACCAACATGTACCTTTTCGGAATGATCCTATTCTAAGGATATCCTTTTTGGAAGTGACCTTTCATTTGGTTTTTCCTGAAAAAATAGAGAGACGCGATGTTTCAAATAAAGGGGTACTTACCTTTTGATGACATGAACCATAACCTTTGATGAAGAGTTATGACTTTGAATCCCAACCATCACCATGATTCGTTAGAATCTCTTCAATATTCAGCATCGAACCATTATCCTTCTTCATGAAGAAGTTCTGTTTCATGTCTTGTCCACCTTTACTCTTCAATGTTAGTTTGTCTTTTCGTAAGGCTTAGACACTCATTTGCATATGCATTTGATATTGTTGAACTTCTTTAGGCGCCAAAGGCACCTTACATACTTCATGCTGAAAGGATTATTGGTTGTGATAACAATCATGAATGGACCTTTTGTCATACTGCCATGGCCTACCAAGTAGAATGTGGTTAGCATGCATAGGGACAATATCACAAAGTACCTCATCTTGGTACCTACCAATTGAAAAATGAATTAGGACCTGTTTAGTAACGTTTATCTTACCTCCTTTATTGAGCAATTGGAGTTTTATCGAGTTTGATGCTTTAAGGTTGTCAAACTGAGTTTATCTACCATAATAGTACTGGCTACATTTGTGCAACTCCCTCTATCAATAATCATTGTACAAACCTTGTCCTTGATATGACACCTTGTGTGAAAAATGTTGTTTCTTTGTAGATCTTCCTTAATTGATTATGATTGGAGACACCTATTTGAAACAAGCATTTCTCCATAATCAGCATTCTTTCTTTGCTTTTCTTCATGGATTGTTTCTGGTTCCTCATCATGGACAGGTTCTTCAGAATCTTAGATAACATCTTCATTATCTAGCAATATCATAGTATTTTGGTTGGGACATTGGCTTGCAACATGTCATTTTCTAAAACATTTAAAACACTTAATGCCTCTAGACCTCTCGAAAGTGTTTGTTTGTCATTCTTTACCCTTTTTGGATTCACCTACTTCTATTGTTTTATATACTTCAACATTATCCTTCACTTGGACTGGGGTTGGCTTCCGAAAAGTATTAGGCTCTTGTTTCTATTTGGTGGCCGAAATTGGGCTACTCCGGTTGAAGACGTTCCTTTTAATTTGTCGTTCGATTTTCATGGCCATATATACCATCTCCTCAATCTCTACATAATGTTGCAGTTTAACAAGGTTAGCAATTTCAGGATTCAAGCCATATAAAAACCTTTCCAGGGTTAATTCCCTATCTTCATCAATATTGGCTCAAATCATGGCTATCTCCATTTCCTTGAAATAATCTTCAATGCTCCAGCTTCTTTGTTTAAGATTTTGAAGTTTGTGATAAAGATCTCGGTGATAGTGAGTAGGCATGAACCTTTTCCTCATAATGGCCTTCATTTATTCCCAATTATTGATTGAGCGTTCACTATTTCTTCTCCTTGAACTTACTAATTGATCCCACCAAACGAGGGCGTAGTCTACAAACTCCATAGCAGCAAGCCTTACCTTATTTTGCTCCGAGTAGTTTTGGCATTTAAAAATATGCTCAATTTTTGTTACCCAGTCAATGTAGGCTTCAGGATCAGATCGTCCTTGAAATGGAGGAATTGTTACCATGATGTTGTTGAAGTTATCATTTTGGTATATTTCCCCTGAATTTCTATGGACATCTCTTCTTACTCCTTGGGTTTTTTTCTCTACCTCAGCCTCCTCCTCAAATTCTTCTTCCAATCTAGGGTGAATTATTCTTCGGTTGCCCAAAGATACTTCAACTTGATCCATCCTTTCATGCAAGGGCTCCAACTCTAGTTCAAACAATCTTGCCATCTCATGCATAATTGATTGAGTTTGCAAGTTAGGGGCTTCTCTTTCAGGTGTTCATCCTGGACTCCGAGACATGATTAGTGAAATAAAGAAAATAAAATGTGTAAAAAGACCTTACCAAATAATGCTTTCACAAAGCCTCACGAGTTCACTCCAATGAAACTTGAATGTCACTCAATCCGCTCGTGTTTGTACTCTAGGACTTCAAGGCTTTTACTAGTCCTCTTATAGTCTCCCACGCTCAAGCCTTTTTCCTCTGAATCTCTTTTTCTCGAGTTGTAAGTAACTTTACTCAAAACTATACCAAGTAAAGTTTACTTGTTGTGCGTCAGTTGCAAAAGGGTTAGTAGGAATGGAAACCAAAATATAATGAAAAGGGTGGCTTAGAAATAAGAAAAAAAAAGAATAAGGGGGTTACTTGCACAAAGTCACATCTCAACCTTTCTATCACCACAATCAATTTTAGATGCTTACTTGAAATGGCTTGGTGATCAGACTTGTTGTTGTGTGCTTTCAACTTTCATTATAATTTTCTTTTCTTTTCTTCTTTTGTTTTATTCATTTGAGTGCTTGCAATTTCTTTGCTGATTTTTTTATTTCTTCACTTTCACTTCACTTGCACTTCTATTTTTATTTTATTGTTGTTGTTGTACGTTGCTTCTTCCATGAAAGCTCTGAATACCGCTTGATGTAAGGTACTCTTGCCTTAAATTGATTGTGTATCTATTAAGGAAACAAAAAACTTGTATAAGTGAATGGCTCAAAGAGGTGGCTTGGATGTAGATGTAAAGGTGAAATGGAAGGCTATTTATGTTATGAGAATTGGTAGTGGAAGTATGTTGATATCGCTATGGTATGGATTATGAAAGAAATGATGGTTGGTGAGGATAGCATCTTAGAAAGACCAAGGAAGAACCAGTGCTACAATGAGCAAAGACCCAGCCTTACAAATCTATCTAAGGGATGGTAACAAAGGACTTGGACCCACTATCTATAAAGAGATAGGAACCATAACTATCAATGGAATAGAGGTTGACTCAATGAGTAAAGATTTACTTGATAAGTCGATAAAAGTCACAAGGAATTGAGAAATGAGAATAAACTCACATAAATTATATAAAATGTGTGTTTACAAAATGAATAGGACTAGCCTATTTATAGTTTTTGAAGGGACATAGCTGAATGGATACATGGTGGTTCGGCTAGCCCTTGTGTCCCTCTAAAATGACATAATTAATTGAATAATTAACATGAAAACATAGGTGTTGGTTCGGCTGAATGGAGGGGAATGTCTCATGGCCGAATAGTGCTTGATTTATTTCAAGTTGGTACTAATTTTAAGGGTAAGGACTGTTTGGCCGAATGGTTGTGCAACCATTCATCTTGGCCCCCTAAAAGAGGCACACGCATAGAAAATGGCTTGGCTGGTCACAAGGTGTGCACATGGTTCTCTGGGAGGCTTATTGTGTAGCCTTATGCATAGGATGAAGACCAAACATGTGAAGCAGCCTTGGTCGTGAGTTGAGCTATCTTCAAGCTTGCATATGTCTAGCTAGCTAGCAATGTAAGGGCTGGTGGTGAAGGATCTTCTTAGTTGTGATCTCATAAGCTTACTAGCATCACATTCAATTATGTTCAACTATATTTGATGCCACTTTCAGCAACTTGTCTTTAAATAGTCCAACTAGCTGAGATTAGCTAGCCTTGAGCTCCTCTAGATGAGTTGAGTTTCCTATTGTGTTCCACAAGCTACCATGATGTTTGTGAGCTAATTATGAGATGAATATGGATCCCAAAAACTCCAACAAGTTGCCCCAATGTGTTCCATGTTTCCATGTACCTACATGTGCAAAGAAAACAAGGTAAATCAAAGGTATTGAGCTTGTAGGGTCCAATTACCTTGTTGACGTGTACGATTATGATCTTGTGATCTATGAATGCTTGACATGAGATAAGTACATAATGATATAACATATGTAAGTTAATGTATAAGACTTAAGAGCTAGAATGAATGCATATGAGCAAACAAATGAAGGATTAAGCATGCTATCATTTCATGATTGAAATGAATCATGCTTAAATGAATGCAAGACTATTCTAACAAACTTAACATACTTGAAATAAAAATGTAAATCAATTATAAAGATGTGGATATGCTAAGTTACTTTACTCATTAAATCACATAACTAGCAACCTTAGCATGATATGTATGATTATTTCATAGGTGATCACAATAATATAAAGTAAGTAAAATATTAATATGTTAAAGAATACTCCCTTTGCATGTGGTGAAAATGTGCTTGCATCAGACCATCTTTTAAGGGATTGTTTAGAGCCAACTAATATCGTTCAAACACTAGTTTAGACTTCCACTCATACTTAGAGTATAGTTCAGACTTCATAAGGGGGTCGTAGTTAGGAGAGACTATTTGGATCAGCTAATAGAGGCCGACCTTCTCATAATAGGGGCTTAGGTTGGTTTGAGGCCAGACAAACTGGGTTGGTTTATGATACCAGACGTCAACAGGATCTTGAATGAGCCTGATATGGTTGCATGTACCGTTTCAATTCATTCAGTTCCATACTTCGTATTATTTGATAATGGTTCTACTCATTCATATGTGTTGCATATATGAGGGTCTTAATATTTTGGTTGAAAATACCGAGAGTTTTGTGATACTTTAAAGTCTCGTAGGTCAGTGCATAGAGTTGGACCATATTTCTAGGGGTTACCCAATCGAGATTCATGGAGAGATCATTTTGGAAAATCTGATAGAATTACCTTTGGAGGAGTTTGAGTTGATTCTTGGCATGGATTGGCTGAACAAGAATCGAGTTAATCTCGATTGTGAGACCAAGAGGGCTATTTTGAAGACTCCTGATAAAAGGAAGATTATGATGATCGGGGAACATTGTGTATTCCTGATGAATGTTGTGTATGCTTTAGTAGCTGAAAGGATGATCAGAAAGGGTTGTAAGGTGTTTCTCGCTTACATTCCAGATACTAGGAGTTCCCGATCTGACATTGAAGGAAACTAAACCATTAGGAAATTTTACAATGTCTTCTTTGAAGATTTGTCTAGATTTCCACTGGATAGAGAAGTTGAGTTTAAAATTAAAGTTTATTCCAGTTTTACCCCAGTTTCAATGGCTCCTTACCATATGGCCCCAAAGGAGCTTAAGGAATTGAAAGTCCAACTTAAGGAGTTATTGGATATGGGATTCATTCAACCCAATGTTTCACCGTGGGGAGCCCCATTTCTCTTTGTCAATTAGAAAGATGGAAAATTAAGTCTCTGTATTGACTACAGGAAACTGAATAAGCTCGCAATTAAAAACAAATATCCTCTACCTAGGATCAATGATTTCTTTGAGCAGTTTTGAGTGGCTTCTATCTTTTGAAGATAAACTTTAGGTATTGTTATTACCAACTCAAGGTGAAAGATTCTAACGACCTAATGACTTTTTCCGTACTCGATATGGTATTGTGAGTTTTTAATGATGCCATTCAGGTTAACTAATGTCTTGCTACCTTTATTGATATGATGAATTAGGTGATTCAACCCTATCTGGACCAGTTTATGGTTGTGTTCAATGATGACATATTGGTGTATTCTCAAACTGAAGTAGAGTACGATGAGAATTTGAAGATTGTTCTGCAAACTCTGAGGGAGAACAAGTTGTACACCAAGTTGAGCAAGTGAGAGTTTTGGCTCAACGATGTGACCTTTCTAGGCCATATTGTTTCTAATAAGGGTATTAAAGTATATCCGAGTAAAGTGGAGGCTATTATGAACTGGAAAACCTGATAACATCTTAGAGATCCGTAGTTTCTTGGGCTTGGCTAGTTATTATCATTGTTTTGTTGAGGGATTCTCCATTATTGCAGCTTCTCTGACGAAGCTATTGAGAAAGGATGTTCCATTTTTTTTGGTTCGAGGATCAAAAAGGTAGTTTTGATAAACTGAAGATTGTTCCTACTCAAGCCCTAGTGTTGATTCTTCCTTAGTCTAGGAAGGATTTTTTGTTTGTTTGTAGTGATGCTTCTCACTCTAGATTGGGATGTGTTTTGATTCAAGATGGGAAGGTTATCACTTATGCATCACGGTAGTTAAAGCCCATGAGCATAATAATATAACTCGTGATATAGAGTTAGATGTAATGGTTTTTGCTTTGAAAATATGGAGACACTATCTCTACGAAGAGAATTGTTATATCTATAACGACCATAAGAGTCTAAAGTATCTAATTACTCAGAAAGAGATGGATATGAGAGAGCGCCGCTAGTTAAAGCTTATAAAGGACTATGATTGTGAGATACAATATCATCATGGTAATGCCAATGTGGTGGCCGATGCCTTGAGCCATAAGGCAGTATCTGATCTGAGAGCCTTGATTGCTAGATTGAGTTTGTTTGATAATGGTAGTCTATTAGTAGAGTTACAGGTCAAAACTGACTTTGGCCGAGGAGATTAATTTCATATAACTCCTTAATAGCTCTTTTCTTTCTATTATTGAGTAGGTTAAGTAGGGATTGAGCTCATACTATACTTTTGATCATAATGGTATTATGTGTTTTCATTTCTGTTATTGTATTTCGAAACATGATGATATAAGACACACTAACCCACAGGAGCCCCACAATAGTCCTTATGCTATGCATTCTGGTGGAGAAAAGATGTACAAGAATCTCAAGGAGCGTTATTATTGGGTTGGCATGAAGAAGGATATTTCAGACGTGGCGAGGTGTCTAACTTACCAATAGCTTAAAGCAGAGTATCAATATTCATATGGTCTGCTACAACCTATTAAGGTTCCTAAGTGGAAGTAGAAGTACAATACGATGGACTTTGTTACCAATATGCCTCTAACTCCTTCCAAAAAGGATTATGTTTAGTGATTGTTGATCGACTCAGAAATTCAGTTCCCTATTCTAGTTAATTATTCTCTTGACAAGATGGCTAGGTTATATATCTATAAGATCATCAGACTTCATGGTGTTCTATTGCATATCATTTTTTACGTTCACTTATACGTTTTGGAAGGCTCTACACGAACTTTGAGTGCTCATTTGAATTTCAGTACAACTTTCCATCCACAGATTGATGGTTAGTCATAGCGAGTATTGTATGTTCTAGAGGATATATTACGGGGTTATGTGAAAAAATTTTGTGGTAGTTAGGAATATTGTTTGCCCTTATACTTACAATAGCAGTTATTAGGCAAGTATTCACATGGCATCGTATAAGGCTCTGTATGGATGAAAATGGCATACTCCTATATGCTAAACTGAGTTGTATGATAGGAAGACTTTGGGTCTAGAGTTAGTCCGAGAGTCTGAGAATACTGTCAGATTGATTTGTGATTACCTAAGAGAGGTGTTTGATAAACAGAAATCATATATTGATCAGAGATGAAAGGACATCGAGTTTGAGGTTAGAGATCAGGTTTTTCTGAAGGTATCTCTATCGAAAAAGGTGTTGAGATTTGCATATAAGGGTAAGTTGAGTATGAGATTTATTTGATCATACCATATTTTGAATAGGGCAAGACTTGTTGCTTATCAGCTTGAGTTGCCTACACAGCTCAGTTATATTTATGACGTTTTCCATGTATCCATGTTGAGGCGATACATCCAGATCTAGGTCACATCATTTAGATCAATGATGTAGAGTTGAGACCTGATTTGTCTTATGAGGAGGATTTGTTCAGATCTTAGATCGGGATGAGGGAGTTCTTCAAATAGACATATTCTGATGATAAAAGTTCAGTGGAGTAACCATGGTCTCAAAGAAGCTACATGAGAGATATTGGAGTCAATGGACGCTCAGCTTCCATAAATGTTCAGGCCATGTAAATTTTGAGGACATAATTTCTTTTAAAGGGGAGTTGTCACACCCCAATTTATGGCCTAAACGTTTATTAAAATTAATATTAGGGATTAAATTAAATTAAATTTTAATTAAATTCGAGGACAAAGGTAAATTTCTAATTAAATTTGGATCCAAAATTAAGAACTAATAAAAACTAGAGGACTTCTTGTGTAATTATGCCATTTTACAATTATATTGGGTTTAAAACCCCTAAAATTAGAAACTTTTCATTTTTGGTAAGTCTAAAACCCTCTCCATTTTCTTTTTTAGCTAATAAACTTCAATCGTCGTTTCATCACCGATCGTAGCTATGTTTTCGACACCTCTCATACCATCATGTTCTTTGTGTCGTCCCGAGTCCACTGGCATCTACTTTGTCTCCATTTTCACTGGCATGTGATGGGGTAAGGAAGGACAAGTCTCTGACATTGTGAAATCAAGCTCTCAGCTATTCACCATTGTGAAAGGAGCTTGTTAAGTGTCTCAAAACCCCTTAAAATGAGCATAGGAATTTTTACGTATTTTTTCTGACCCCATGAAGCCCCCTCACATGCCCCCCACGTATCTTAGTTGTGCGTGAGGCTTGTCCACCACCTAGTTGGCTTCTAGAAATGGGTCGATCTGACCTCGTGTACCAAATATGACCTAACCCGATCCATTTGGCCAAACGTAAACCATCTCAACCGAACCGGTCCAACCTAAACTGAACTGAATTGTTCATGTATAAACCAAATTAGATTGATTATTGACCATTGATCAGTGTTGAAATTTTTTAAAACCTCTCTCTTTATATTTTTTGACATCTTGAGTCCGATTTTACGATTCGTTTTATCAAATTTTGATCCGAAAGCAATGAATATAACCCGTTAACCCAAAAATCTTAGTATTTTTAGCATTTTTACTTATTTATTTAATATTTGATTATGAAATTGATTCGAGAATATATTTTTGTGAAGATACTTGTGTTTCACCTTATCGAGGGTCGACTAAATCCGATGCTTCTCGTCTGACAGATTTGCACGATCTGCGTACTTTTAGAGTTACTCGTAGATTTTCATAAATTATTTAAATATAGGTTGTTATTATTCATTTTAGGATTATGATATACTTTTCCCGATTCGTAATATCTAGCTCTTTCGCTGATCGTGATAGGTAAATCCAGCTGTAGGCTATCATATTTGACTTCTCAGATTCATACAAGTGTGTTTTGTGATGGTGTTACATTACTATTTTGAACTACCTATCTGAACTATTTTAGAATTATGATGATATCAAATATTTTTATGATATGATATCTGATTTTCTAAATGTCGTTAACTTAATATATAATTTACTATATATTTCTTATATGATCTCTGGATAATGTATTTCTGATTATGATTTCTGAATATGGAATATTTTCATTTTTTATTAATTAAACTACCATTTTCACTTATATACATACATGTTTATTACTATCATGGGGTATTATTGGAGGAACTATCTTAGGCCTAGTCTATGACTTGCAAGTCCTTACCGCAAGCTCCTCTCCTTTGTGCATAGGGTAAGTTATTACCACATGTCCTTATGCTATACGTATAATGCTCTTACCGAGTGTACAGGTGGGTGTATGGTTTAGGGGAACCTAGATATTCTGGTGATCGAATAGGGGTAGAGTTCATGTTTGATTAACTGATTTTTACCAAAGTATTTTATCTGTATGTTTTATACACCGAAAGGAGCACACTGGGATCTTTAGCTCACTTTTTAAATATTTAACCTTTACAGATAGTACCAAACAATAGACTAGTATACTTGGCATCAAGAGGACCGATCACTCCTCATTTTTTGTACCATTGTATATCTCTATATGCCCTTTTTGTATCTTGGTGACATGTTTTTTTTGTTATTATTTTGATATATCTGTATTACCAGTATTTTGTTTTGTTTATGTTTTATACGGTTTTTCTGATATATGTATATATATATATATATATGTGTGTGTGTATGTGTGTGTGTGTGTGTGTTTACCATATGAACCTTACTGATCATTATTTTCATATTATATAGTTATATGGATTTCAACTCTATACCTCTGCATTTTTAATTTCTTAACTCATAAGTCATTTTCCCATTAAAATAAAGCTTTTCAAATTTGAAAACCAACTTGTAAATCAACATCTTTATGTTTTGATGATGTAGGTGATGAAAAAACAAAGAAGAAAAACATGATTTTATTCCTATCCCTACATGATATGTACCCCCACATGCTTTTATTTCTACCAAAACATGATTTCTCCTAGGCATTTTTTTATTCCTAACTAAACAAGATTTCTACCCCAATGCTTTTTAAAAGAACAATAAACCTTCACTACATACACTTTTAGTTCACATGCTTTGAACAATAAATAAAAGGATAAATACAAAAGGCTTCTCATTTGCTTATTCGGGCATCCCTAGGGTTTTGACATGGCTTTTGGGTGGATTCTATGGTTCATGGTAACACAATTTAGTTCTAAAATGACGCATGAGTTCTCCTTACTGGTGGCTTCTTGGGTTTACGAAACCTTCGATCCTCACCCATCATAGGCTCATATGGATCGAGTTATACTCGAGAGGATACATTCTCCTACGTATGCATGATAGAATAAATTCTCACAAAGACATAGGGTATATGAACCAAAAAGGCTACTTGTTAGGCGTTACATGAAGAATAAATTCTCATGAAGGCTTCGCCTTCACCCTCACTTAATAGGGAAAGAGCTCGGGTATAGATCATATGAAATGGAATGCAAGTGCTCTTTTGTTTCAAAAAATAAATCTGAAAACCACTGAAAACACACATCAATACA